AAATGAGTTCACCACCTTGTGGAGCTCAAAGGAACTGCATCCCCAAAGTGTTTCATTAATAGTGATGAGTGATGTCATGTGACCTCCCAGAATCCTCCTCATCTCTCCGGTCAGGTCTGTGTGATGTCATGTGACCTCCCAGAATCCTCCTCACCTCTCCAGTCAGCAGGTAGATGATCTCCAGGTATCCTCTCAGTCATGTGACTCCGGTCCTCCTCCATCCTCATTGGTCATGTGATCTATACAGGTTTCCTGTAGACCAATACTTGATAACAGAGAATGATCTGGACTGTACTGAAGGGGTTAAGCTGAGTTCCCACACTATACAGGTGAAATTAGAAAAATGAGAATATCTTGCAAAAGTTCATTTATTTCAGTGCAGCAACTTAAAAGGTAAAACTAATACAGTCAGGTCCATAAATATTGGGACATTGACACAATTCTAACATTTTTGGCTCTATACACCACCACAATGGATTTGAAATTTGAAATGAACAAGATGTGCTTTAACTGCAGACTGTCAGCTTTAATTTGAGGGTATTTACATTCAAATCAGGTGAACGGTGTAGGAATTACAACACTTTGCATATGTGCCTCGCACTTAAGGGACCAAAAGTAATGGGACAATTGGCTTCTCAGCTGTTCCATGGCCAGGTGTGTTATTCCCTCATTATCCCAATTACAATGAGCAGATAAAAGGTCCAAAGTTAATTTCAAGTGTGCTATTTGCATTTGGAATCTGTTGCTGTCAACTCTCAAGATGAGATCCAAAGAGCTGTCACTATCAGTGAAGCAAGCCATCATTAGGCTGAAAAAACAAAACAAACCCATCAGAGAGATAGCAAAAACATTAGGCGTGGCCAAAACAACTGTTTGGAACATTCTTAAAAAGAAGGAACGCACCGGTGAGCTCAGCAACACCAAAAGACCGGAAGACCACGGAAAACAACTGTGGTGGATGACTGAAGAATTCTTTCCCTGGTGAAGAAAACACCCTTCACAACAGTTGGCCAGATCAAGAACACTCTTCAGGAGGTAGGTGTATGTGTGTCAAAGTCAACAGTCAAGAGAAGACTTCACCAGAGTGAATACAGAGGGTTCACCACAAGATGTAAACCATTGGTGAGCCTCAAAAACAGGAAGGCCAGATTAGAGTTTGCCAAACGACATCTAAAAAAGCCTTCACAGTTCTGGAACAACATCCTATGGACAGATGATACCAAGATCAACTTGTACCAGAGTGATGGGAAGAGAAGAGTATGGAGAAGGAAAGGAACTGCTCATGATCCTAAGCATACCACCTCATCAGTGAAGCACGGTGGTGGTAGTGTCATGGCGTGGGCATGTATGGCTGCCAATGGAACTGGTTCTCTTGTATTTATTGATGATGTGACTGCTGATAAAAGCAGCAGGATGAATTCTGAAGTGTTTCGGGCAATATTATCTGCTCATATTCAGCCAAATGCTTCACAACTCATTGGACGCCGCTTCACAGTGCAGATGGACAATGACCCAAAGCATACTGCAAAAGCAACCAAAGAGTTTTTTAAGGGAAAGAAGTGGAATGTTATGCAATGGCCAAGTCAATCACCTGACCTGAATCCGATTGAGCATGCATTTCACTTGCTGAAGACAAAACTGAAGGGAAAATGCCCCAAGAACAAGCAGGAACTGAAGACAGTTGCAGTAGAGGCCTGGCATCACCAGGGATGAAACCCGGCGTCTGGTGATGTCTATGCGTTTCAGACTTCAGGCTGTAATTGACTGCAAAGTATTTGCAACCAAGTATTAAAAAGTGAAAGTTTGATTTATGATTATTATTCTGTCCCATTACTTTTGGTCCCTTAACAAATGGGAGGCACATATGCAAACTGTTGTAATTCCTAAACCGTTCACCTGATTTGGATGTAAATGCCCTGAAATTAAAGCTGACAGTCTGCAGTTAAAGCACATATTGTTCGTTTCATTTCAAATCATTGTGGTGGTGTATAGAGCCAAAAATGTTAGAATTGTGTCGATGTCCCAATATTTACGGACCTGACTGTATATGAGATAAGACTCATTACATGCAAAGCAAGATAGTTCAAGCCGTCATTGCGATGATTATGGCTTACAGCTCATGAAAACCCCAAATCCACAATCTCAGAAAATGAGAATATTACATGCAATCAATAAAACAAGGATTGTACATAGAACAATATCTGACCTCTGAACAGTATAAGCATGCATATGTACTCAGTACTTGGTTTGGGCCCCTTTTGCAGCAATTGCTGCCTCAATGCGGCGTGGCATGGAAGCTATCAGCTTGTGGCACTGCTGAGGTGTTATGGAAGACCAGGATGCTTCAATAGCGGCCTTCAGCTCTTCTACATTGTTCGGTCTCATGTCTCTCATCTTTCTCTTGGCAATGCCCCATAGATTTTCTATGGGGTTCAGGTCAGGCAAGTTTGCTGGCCAATCAAGCACAGTAATCCCACGGTCACTGGACCAGGTTTTGGTGCTTTTGGCAGTGTGGGCAGGTGCCAAGTCCTGCTGGAAAATGAAGTCAGCATCCCCATAAAGCTCGTCTGTGGAAGGAAGCATGAAGAGCTCCAAAATCTCCTGGTAGACGGCTGCATTGACCCTGGACTTAATGAAGCACAGTGGACCAACACCAGCAGATGACATGGCTCCCCAAATCAACACAGACTGTGGAAACTTCACACTGGACTTCAAGCATCTTGCAGTGTGTGCCTCTTCATTCTTCCTCCATACTCTGGGCCCTTGGTTTCCAAATGAGATGCAAAAGTTGCTCTGATCAAAAAAGAGGACTTTGGATCACTGAGCAACAGACCAGGTCTGTTTTTCTTTAGCCCAGGTAAGACGCTTCTGATGTTGTTTGTTGTTCAGGAGCGGCTTGACAAAAGGAATACGACATTTGAAGCCCATGTCCAGGATCCGTCTGTGTGTGGTGGCTATTGATGCACTGACTCCAGCCTCAGTCCACTCCTTGTGAAAGTCCCCAACACTTTTGAATGGTCTTTTCCTGACAATCCTCTCCAGGCTGCGGTCATCCCTGCTGCTTGTGCACCTTTCCACACCTTTCCCTTCCACATAACGTTCTATTAATGTGCTTTGATACAGCACTTTGGGAACATCCAACTTCTTTTGCAATGACCTTTTGAGGCTTTCCCTCCTTATGGAGGGTGTCAATGATGGTGTCAGGTCAGCAGTCTTTCCCATGATTGTGATTCCTACTGAACCAGACTGAGAGACCATTTAAAGGCTCAGGAACCCTTTGCAGGTGTTATGGCTTAATTAGCTGATTAGAGTGGGACACTTTGAGCCTAGAATATTGTACCTTTTCACAATATTCTCATTTTCTGAGATTGTGGATTTGGGGTTTTCATGAGCTGTAAGCCATAATCATCACAATTATGACAAATCACAGCTTGTACTATCTTGCTTTGCATGTAATGAGTCTATCTCATATACTAATTTCACCTTTTAAGTTGCATTACTGAAATAAATGAACTTTTGCACGATATTCTAATTTTTTGAGTTTCACCTGTATATATGTGTATATCATCATCTGCTGGAGATAAAAGACATCACAGTGACTATGGAGGAAGAGGACAGGCATGACGGTGGAGCAAGAGGACAGGCATGACAGTGGAGGAAGAGGACAGACATAACGGTAGAGGACGGGTGTGACAGTGGAGGAAGAGGACGGACATGACGGTGAAGAGGACGGACGTGACGGTGGAGGAAGAGGACGGGTGTGACGGTGGAGGAAGAGGACGGACGTGACGGTAGAGGACTGACGTGACGATGGAGAAAGAAGATGGACGTGACAGTAGAGGAAGAGGATAGGCGTGATGGTGGAAGAAGAGGACGGGCGTGACGGTGGAGGAAGAGGACAGACATGACGGTGGAGGAAGAGGATGGACGAAACAGTGGAGAAAGAGGACGGACGTGACGGTGGAGGAAGAGGACGGACGTGACGGTGAAGAGGACGGACGTGACGGTGGAGGAAGAGGACGGGTGTGACGGTGGAGGAAGAGGACGGGCGTGACGGTGGAGGAAGAGGACGGGCGTGACGGTGGAGGAAGAGGATGGACGAAACGGTGGAGAAAGAGGACGGACGTGATGGTGGAGAAAGAGGACGGACGTGACGGTGGAGGAAGAGGATGGAAATGACGGTGGAGGAAGAGGACTGACGTGACGGTGGAGGAAGAGGACAGCCATGACGGGGTTACTAGGTGGAAATAAAAAAAAACATTCATCCTAACTTACTAAGAAAAAGAAAGTTGGAACTGAATATTGACCCCCTGCACAGTCCAGTGCCTCAGTGAGTGGTGGAGGGGCAGTGCAGAGAGCTTTAGACTGACAGCCTGAAGATTTGAGGTGCTTAATCACTCAGTTCTCGGTCTCAGAGGTGGCGAGGGACAGCTGCACACAAGATCGGTCCTGCAGACATCTAAGTAAGTGTGATAGTTTTTTTCCTTTTAAATGTTAGAAAAGTAATAAAAGACAAAAAGGAAACTTTCCATAGTACAGATCTGAAGGCGGACATTTATACGTCATTTTACAAAGACTGAGATACCTTTCAGTATGGACAGAATATCATCATTTGGTCCATAATAAAAATATATATTTTTTTATTTTTTATAGATCTGCATTTTTTATAGCAGCAAATATAAAATATTGCATAATAAAAAGTCATATTTTCCCATTTCCTCAAGCAGGTGCCACTCTCCAAGTAAAAGCAGAGGCCTGAGAAAGCGATGAGAGATATAAATCCTGTAGTATGATAAATCTCAACTGAAAGTATGATTCATACAGAAGACGCTTCCTGCATTTCAGACTCCAGTACACATGGAGGGTGGTGTGGGTTCTCTGATGTTTGGAAAGACAAGACTTCTGCCATAAAACATTTCCCACACTCTGAGCATGAATATGGCTTCTCCGCTGTCTGAGATCTTTGACATTTGACAAGTTCTGATCTCTGTGGACATTTCCCACACTCAGGGCAGGAAAACTGCCTCTCCCGCGTGTGGCAGATCTGATGTTCAGTAAGAGTGGACTTTCGGGAAAAACATTTCCCACACACGGGACAGGAAAAAGGCTTCTCACCCGTGTGACACCTCTGATGGGTGTTTAGGTTGTACTTCTGTGAAAAACATTTCCCACACTCAGGGCAGGCATACGGCTTCTCACCCGTGTGAGATCTTTGGTGTATAACAAGGTCTGATTTCCGTGGAAAACATTTCCCGCACTCACGGCAAGAATACGGCTTCTCGCCCGTGTGCAATCTCTGATGTCTGGATAGACAGGATTTCTGTGAAAAACATTTCCCGCAATCAAGACAGGAATACGGCTTCTCCCCCGTGTGAGATCTGTAATGTATGATAAGTTCTGATTTATAAAAAAAATATTTCCCGCACTCAGAACAGGAATGAATCTCCTCACCCGTGTGGGACCTCTGATGTACAGAAAGACTTAATTCAGAACTGAAACTTTCCGCACATTCAGGACAGGGATATGTCTTCTCCCCCTGAACTCCGGCCCCACCCCCCACAGTACGAGGGTGCTCAGAGTCAGAGGAACTCCATGGTCTCTCCACACTGGGAAGTCCACCATCCATAGTGGAGCTCATTGTCTTTTCTCCTGCACAATCTCCTGGGATGTCCTCATCTTCCATTTTACAACCAGGAGATAAAGTGAGACGATCCTTTGAGGGTTTCTCCATGGCAGGTCCTGGAAAAATAGAAAAACATCATCAATAGATAGGAGAGGGTTAGTTCACTTCCATCAAGATTCCATCTGGATCAGGGAGATAGGAGGGAGCAGATGTTCTCTGTGGAGGTCCCAACCAGCTGGGACTCTTCCCCTCTTCAGTCAAAGGGCCTTTGCTCCTCATCCCAGATCACTTCTACATTTACACCGCCTTGTCAGAGGAGCAGGAACCAATGGGGGCTGGGGGGGTGGTAACAGAGCAGAGATAAGAGAAGAATATATTCTGGTCACCTGTGCTGATCTCTGTAGGAGTGTCCTCCTCTATGAATATCCTCCTAATTCCAGCCTCCTCCGTATATTGCTGATCATTCCTCACATACGTCTCTTCTACTTCACCCTCAACTTTCATGTTCATCAGATCTTCACCCTAAACCAACAGAATGGCAGAAAATAACATCTGTAACATAGAAGGATTTATGATGTGAGATCACATAGAACATCTCATCTTGTAGAGTCCACACATCGTCTCCACATGTCAGAGTGTTCCATCACTTTATGTTCCTGACCCTCAACTCCACCTACCTGATGATGGTGAGGGATGGTGTGACCTTCCTGTGTGTAATCCCGGCAATACAGAGGACGGGGACATCTCTCTGGTGGGTTCATGGTATTAGGTGGCTCCATCATTTCCTTGTGTCCTTCTGAAAGTTCCTCCATCACTCCATACTCCTCATCCTCCTCTTTATACTCTTCTTTAACTACAATGTTGTAATCCCCGCAGTTTCCACTCTGAAAGATTTTATAAAACATTTATTGTAACAAACATTCCGTGTTTAAATGATACCTATCAGTGATTGTTCCTCATCTACCTGATGATGGTGGGGAATGGTGTGACCTTTCTGTGTGCAATCCCGGGAATACAGAGGACGAGGACATCTCTCTGGTGGGTTCCCATGACTGGATTCATCTGTAGGAAAACACACACACTGACTGAATACACTGCTCAAAAAAATGAAAGGAAGACTTTGCAAATCCACCAGATCTCAATGGGGAGGAAGCTCCGGCTGGATCTCTATACTGACATGGACGGGGTGATAGGTGAGGAACGGAAGGATGCCCTATCGTTGGATGGAAATGAAAATGATCGGCCTACAGAGGACTGAATTCAAAGACACCCCGAAAATCAAAGTGAAGAAATGATGCAGTAGGCGAGTCCATGTTGGTGAAATGTCATTGCAGCAACTCAGAATGGTCCTCAGTAGTCTGTGTGGCCCCCACATGCTTGTATGCATGCCTGACAACGTCGGGGGAGGCTCCTAATGAGAGCACGGATGGTGTCCTGGGGGATTTCCTCCCAGATCTGGACCAGAGCGTCACTGAGCTCCTGGACAGTCTGAGGTGCAACCTGGTGGCCTCGGATGGACCGAAACATGACATCCCAGAAGTGTTCTATTGGATTTAGGTCAGGTGAGCGTAGGGGCCATTGAATGGTATCAATTCCTTCATCCTCCAGGAACTGTCGGCAATCTCTTACCACATGAGATTGAGCATTGTCATGCACCAGGAGGAACCCAGGACCCACTGCACCAGGAGGAACCCAGGACCCACTGCACCAGGAGGAACCCAGGACCCACTGCACCAGCATAGGGTCTGACAATGGGTCCAAGGATTTGATCCCGATACCTAATGGCAGTCAGGGGGCCATTGTCTAGCCTGTAAAGGTCTGTGCGTCCCTCCATGGATATTAGAAATTCTGAAGGACCCTCTGCACACTGGTATATATACCCTTTCAAGCAGACTATGCAATAAATAGGGATATTTAGTTCACACATATTGCAATACATGCTTAAGCTGGCCAACTGCGTCAAAGTAATCCCTCTATGGCCAGTCCTACTCTGCCCTGCCTATGCAAATGCTACTGTGGACACAATGCTAACATAGGGGAAAAGACACAATGGTTCAGGTCTGGCTACTGACCCAACAATACAACAAACAAGAGATCCCTGTGCTCAAATCCCAACAGCTAGTGCATGCATTTATCCAGCAGGAGCTAAAGGGGTGTAACCACATGGATATGCCTCCCCAGACCATCACTGACCCACCACCAAAATGGTCATGCTGAATCATGTTACCAGACCCTTTCACATCTGACACGTGCTCAGGGGGAACCTGCTCTTATCTGTGAAAAGCACAGGGCGCCAGTGGTGGACCTGCCATTTCTGGGGTTCAATGGCAAATGCCAATTGAGCTCTGTGTTGCTGGGCAGTGAGCACAGAGCCCACTAGAGGACGTCGGGCGCTCAGGCCACTCACATGAAGGCTGTTTCTGATTGGTCAGAGACATTCCCACCAATGGCCTGCTGGAGGTTATTTTGTAGGGCTCTGGCAGTGCTCATCCTGTTCCTCCTTGCACAAAGGAGCAGATACCGGTCCTGCTGATGGGTTAAGAACCTTCTACGGCCCTGTCCAGCTCTCCTAGAGTCACTGCCTGTCTCCTGGAATCTCCTCCATGCTCGAGACATTCTGGCAAAGGCACGTATTGATGTGCCATCCTGGAGGAGTTGGACTGCCTGTGCCACCTCTGTAGTGTCCAGGTATGGCCTCATCCTACCAGTAGCAACACTAACCCTAGCCAAATGCAAAACGAGTGAAAAACAGTCAGAAAAGATGAGTAGGGAAAACAATGCTAGTGGCCTCCATCTGTAAAACCATTCCTGTTTTGGGGGTCATCTCATTGTTGCCCATCTAGTGCACCTGTTAATTTCATGAACACCAAAGCAGCTGAAACTGATGAACAACCCCCTCTGCTACTTAACTGACCAGATCCATATCCCAGGAATCTCCTGGACTCGATGCGACTCGGATTACAAAGTGTTCCTTTCATTTTTTTGAGCAGTGTATATTGTTTCTATGTGTTTATCAGATGATGGGGGATCTAGGTGGAGCCTCCGTACTGCTCTCTCCTTTCCAATAAAGTCTCCTCTTACCCGGTGATGTGAGGGGCGGCTGATTGTCCATCATGACGTCCTTGTAGAGGTCCTTGTGTCCTTCTAAATACTCCCACTCCTCCATGGAGAAATAGACAGTGACACCCTGACACCTTATAGGAACCTGACACACACAATGATACAGTCACCATCCAGACACATCCCTTGTCTGTTACTGGAGAATGTCCCAGAATTCCCGGCACTGCTCACCTCTCCTGTCAGCAGATGGACCATCATGGTGGTCAGTTCCAGGATCTTCTGCTCTTTGTTCCTCTCAGGTATCGGAGAACGAGGGGGAGGCACCATGGTGGGGCTCTGGGTCCTGCTCCATCCTCCTGAGATTGGCTCCCCACTAGACTTCTTCACTACAACATAATCCTACAGATCAGGAGAAAGAGAAACCGATATCAATCATCTGACATCATCTACATGTCTACAAGAAGAACATGGTCTATTGGCCAGACTAGACCAGAGTGATGTCATGTGACCTCCCAGAATCCTCCTCACCTCTCCGGTCAGGTCTGTGTTTTATTAATAGAGATAAGAGTGGTGTCATGTGACCTCCCAGAATCCTCCTCACCTCTCCGGTCAGCAGGTAGATGATCTCCAGGGTGAGGTTTAGTATCCTCTCAGTCATGTGACTCCGGTCCTCCTCCATCCTCATTCGTGTCGTCATTTTATCTATTCCGGCTTTCTTATAGAGAGATCATTTTGACAAATTAAAGTAAGAATTATTTGGAGTTTCCTGTAAATAGAAAATCAGATCTTATTACCTCCTTTGCTGCCACTTCCAGCAATGTCTCCTCTCTACTTCGTACCACATGTAATTTCCTGTCTGTTCTTGACATCACTTCCTGTCTACCATAGAGACTTCCTGTCTGGGTAGAAGTGAGATCCCCACCTTTTGGAGCTCAGAGGAACTGCAGCCCCGAGAACCTTCTGGTAGTGTGACCCCGGCCTTGTGCTGGGTGTGTATGCCAGGGGTGGACTGACAACTCATGGGGCCCCCGGGCAATAGGGGATCATGGGGCCCCTGTGTCCTTGCCCAAACTCAAAAAAGCCTATGAAAAAGGTACCAGGGGCATCTCATGGGGCCCCCTACTGACCCCGAGCCCTTGGGCAGTGCCCGAGTTTCCACCTCTGGTGTGGACTCTATGTCCTCATAGATGGGTCACCTCCACTCCCACCAAGGGGGACAGAAATATATGACTGCCTAGTCAAGCTTTTCTCAGCCAGGGTTCCTCCAAAGGGTTCTAGGGGTTCCTTGAGCTATGGCTGATTGACCTCCTATCTGACCAGGATCAAGCCCACTTGTCAAAACCAACAGCATTAAACCAATGACTGTTTAGCTGTCTGTAAGGGTGGCATTCTTTCTATTGATCACCAATGTAAGAGGCATTTTTCCTATTGACCTGCATTGGGTTTAGCAAGGGATCCCCGAGTCCTGAAAAGTATATTAGGGGTTTGTGAAAGGCTGCTCTAACAGGAAGTCAGATCACATCAGTAAAAAAGGGATTATGGAGGAGGCTGAGAGCAATAGAAGAAACATTTTTGAGTTCTTCAACTTATTTTTTAAAGCAGAATTTAGTCTCACTTTAAAGCCCCATCACGTTATCAACAATTCCAGCTCTGTCTTCCAACGTTGACCTGGGGACCAATAAAAAATACTTCAATGTCAGCATCTAAATAGCTTGGATGGAAGGGCTTGCAATAGGGGTGCCATACCACCGAAATGCCTTCATTACGGGGCCCCTCTGCAAGGACAGGCAGCATGAACCTAATTATTGCAGATCTCATTCATGCCCACCAAAAAATTGTCAAAAAAAACCTACCCAAGTGCCCGTTTAATTCGCCTACATCCAAGGTCACTTGACATTCCATTTTCAAGTCTTCACTATCCTTCTATGTATGGAAGCCTAGGTGTTTCTTTGTTTGTCCACAGGGGCGGACTGATCATTTGGAAACTCGGGCACTGTCCGAGGGCCCGGGGTCAATAGGAGCCTCATGAGATGCCCCTGGAACCTTTTTCATAGGCTTGAGTTTGGGCAAGGACACAGGGGGCCCCATGATCCCCTATTGCCCGGGGGCCCCATGAGTTCTCAGTCCGCCCCTGGTTGTCCACATCACTGCCTGCTAGACATGAACGATTCCTATTGGCTGTCCAGCAGCGGGGTCCTCTCAAGAGCCAGAAGAGTATTCTGCAGCATTGATGCCAGCAAAAGAAAACCACTGGGGTCAAGACAGCGCAGGTACGTCTGCATTGTTCGCTTACCAGTTCTTTACACCTGGTGAATGATGAAGGTGAGGGTCATGGGCAGCAGACATAGGTGAGTACAACATAGGAGTTAGAAAATACTGCAGAGGTCAGAGGGGGGGTGGGAGGGAAAGAGGTTTACTTTTTCCCGGGCTTTAAAATGATATAACTAAGAGAGGGCTGCCATGTTGAAGTAGTCTCCCACTGATAGATATTATCAGAGGATGAAATGAGGGATGATGGGCGAGGTTTATGGTGGTTATGGTGGGTCTCACCCCCTCAATAAAGAACTTATACCAAGTTAATTATATTCCATTAATAAATGAAGTTAAAGATGAGTTGAGAAGACTCTCAATGAGTTGGGTCTTGTAGATTGGGCGTATAAATCTGGTCAAGATGGTGATAGTCCCAAATATCCTGTATAAGTTTCAAATGCTCCCAATATATCTACTTGGATCTTTTTTAGGATACTAAGAAAATTGATACGGAGGTTTATATGGGCTAATAAGAAACCAAGAATTAAGTACAAAATGTTATAACAAAGAGAAAGGGGGATTAAATCTGCCAAATATGAGGAAGTATTACATGTCGGTGCTATTATCACGGGTGGTAGATTGGACACATAATTCACAAGCGAAAAGTTGGGTTAAAATGGAAGGTATACTAAGTAATACACAATTAGAGAGGATCATTTGGATCCCACAAACGTTTCGGGTTATAGATGAAGATAGTAGCACACTGACACGGGAGGTGTTGAGAATTTGGAATGGTTTGCACAATTCAATGGGTAGGAAGTATAATTCTCCGTTGATGCCCCTGGTGGATACGGAGTATATTCCACCAGGGAAAGATAATATTGCTGGGAAATGGTTTAAAGATAGAAATACACAGTTAAGTGACATAGTAGACATGGGGAAGTTATGCTGTCATGTACCTGATAGAAGTCTGAATTGAGGACGTCAGCCTCTCTTGTATCTCCAACCCAGGCCCCACTGAATGTGGACCAGATGGGGGTGAGGGACAGGAGGAACATGAGTGCCTGTGAATATTGATTGTAGAACTTGCGGTTGGAGGTGTAACCTCAGTGAATCAAGCAGGGCATCCAGTCAGGAAGAAAGGAGACGCCGGAACGGCCAGCTGAGGTTAAGGAAGCACTCCACTGGAACTGCAAAATCTGGGTACGTGGCTTGCCAGAACTTCTGATAAGCATGAGGCCGGAACACACCGTGACAACCGGAGCTGATATAATAGATAGCCAGGACAAGCACTCAGCAGGACTGTAGAGCCAAACTGGAGCCAGAAGCGTAGTCAGAGTAATAGCCAGGGTCAGCAACGAGTAAATCAAGCAGGGCATTCAGTCAGGAACAGAGGAGATGCCGAACCGGCCAGCTGAGGTTAAGGAAGCACTCCACTGGAGCTGCAAGATCTAGGTACGTGGCTTGCCGGAACTTCTGATAAGCATGAGGCTGGAACACACCGTGACAACCGGAGCTGATATAATAGCCAGGACAAGCACTCGGCAGGACTGTAGAGCCAATCTGGAGCCAGAAGCGTAGTCAGAGTAATAACCAGGGTCAGCAATGAGTAAATCAAGCAGGGCATCCAGTCAGAAACAGGAGATGCCGGACCGGCCAGCTGAGGTTAAGGAAGCACTCCACTGGAACTGCAAGATCTGGGTACATGGTTTGCCGGAACTTCTGATAAGCATGAGGCCGGAACACACCGTGACAACCGGAGCTGATAGATAGACAGGACAGAGACACACAAAGTCAAGGCAGAGTCATCCAGTAACCGAGCGAGCAACCTGCCGAGCAGAATGGGAGATGTTGATAGTGTCAGTGATGAGAATGGAGTTGGTGTTCCAGAAACACAGCTTAGCTCCTCCCAAGATTGGGCTGTTTGTATTCATGCTGATCCTCTTCTTTAGAGGGACACAGGACATAGAAAAGATGGAGGGGGGTTTCTCTATGTTAGATGTGATGTGAAAGTGAGGAAGAAAGATGACTTTGTGGTTGGAGGTGGTGATGGTGCGGAGGAGGAATTACGGGAGGAATGGTAGATGGGTCTATGGACTGATGGACTTATCATTGGAGTATACTACAGACATCCTGAGGTCTATGAGAAGGGGGAGAGTCGGCTGTTCCAACAAGGTGATGGTGAGGAGGAGGAATTACGGGAGGAATGATAGATGGGTCTATGGACTGATGGACTTATCATTGGAGTATACTACAGACGTCCTGAGGTCTATGAGAAGGTAGAGTCGGCTGTTCCAACAAGGTGATGGTGCGGAGGAGGACGGGGAATGATAGATGGGTTTATACGGGAGGAATATACTAGACGTCCTGGGTCTAGTGGACTGATGGTGCGGAGGAGGACGGGAGGAATGATAGATGGGTCTATGGACTGATGGAGTATACTACAGACGGCCTGAGATCTATGAGAAGGGGGAGAGTTTGCTGTTCCAACAAGGACAAGCTGGGAACACCAAACTACTAAGACAAAAGATGGAGACTGAAACCTACAGGATGGGCCGTACTTGTAGTATTAGAGAAAGGAATAAAGAAGAATATTTCATCACACAAATCTGACGGAAGACTTCGATCAAACGACTTACAGAGAATATTGTGAGTTTAGGAACATAAATATTAAATTTTTGTTTCAATTATTAAAAAAAATGTGTTTTTACATTACATTTGTATTTTTATTAAGTAAATATACAATGTTACATCAGAGAATGTCATATTTTCCCCATTCAGCCAGCAGGTAGCACTCTCCTCCCTCACCATGATGTCCTCCTTGGAAGCTTCTACTGAAGGACAGGGGAGATCAGACTACACTGCTAGAGGGACCCAACCAGCAGTGACCCCCCCCTCCTTCTCTCTCACCATGATGTCCTCCATGGAAGCTTCTGCTGAAGGTCAGGGGAGATCAGACTACACGGCTAGAGGGACCCAACCAGCAGTGACCCCCTCTTCTCTCTCACCATAATGTCCTCCATGGAAGCTTCTGCTGAAGGTCAGGGGAGATCAGACTACACGGCTAGAGGGACCCAACCAGCAGTAAATACCCCCCCCCCCTTCCCTCTCCTAGCAGAGGGAGCCAGACACAACTTTGAAGTCTTTAGTGATCTCTGATCTCCTTATAGAGTGTTTCTTCCATGATAAAGATCAGAGGAGCGCTCAGCCACATGTTTTCCGAGGTGTATATCAAGGTGTGCTTCTTCCCAGTGTCAGATCTCTGATGTACGGCAACATATAATCCATATAGAAGACATTTCCCGCACTCCGCACACTAATACACCTCGAGGGTTGTGTGGGTTCACTGATGTTTGGCAAGACAAGTCTTCCATGAAAAACATTTCCCGCACTCAGGATAGGAAACTGGCTTCTCCCCTGTGTGAAATCATTAATGTATAACAAGTTCTGATTTCTGTGGAGAACATTTCCCGTACTCAGGCTAGAAATACGGCTTCTTTTATGTGAGATTTTTGATGTTTGACAAGTTTTGATTTTCGTGGATAACATTTCCCGCACTCAGTACAGGAAAAAAGTTTTTCCCGTGTGTGGCATATCTGATGTTCAGTAAGATTGGACTTCCGTGAAAAACATTTTCCACACTCAAGACAGAAATACGGCTTCTCACCCGTGTGGGACTTCTGATGTGTGTTGAGATTGGACTTCTGTGAAAAACTTTTTCCGCACTCAGGGCAGGAATATGGCCTCTCCCCCGTGTGAGATCTTTGATGTATAACGAGTTCTGATTTCCGTGTATAACATTTTCCACACTCGGGGCAGTAATATGGCTTCTCGCCTGTGTGCAATCTCTGATGTCTGGAAAGACTGGCCCTGTCTGAAAAACGTTTCCCGCACTCAGGGCAGGAATAAGGCTTCTCACCTGTATGACACCTTTGATGTATAACGAGTTCTGATTTGTGTGGAAAACATTTCCCGCACTCATTACAGGAATACGGCTTCTCTCCCGTATGAGATCTCCGATGTCTCGCCAGTTCTGATTTATGAAGAAAATACTTCCCACACTCAGAACAGGAATGAAGCTTCTCACCTGTGTGATATCTCTGATGTACAGTAAGACTTAGTTCAGAGCTAAAATATTCCCCACATTCCGGGCAGGAACGTTTCTTCTCCCCCTGAATCCCGGCCCCATCCCCCACAGTACGAGGTTGCTCAGAGTCAGAGGGATTCCATGGTCTCTCCACACTGGGAAGTCCACCATCCATAGTGGAGCTCATTGTCTTTTTTCCGGCACAATCTCCTGGGATGTCCTCATCTTCCATTTTACAACCTGGAGATAAAGTGAGACGATCCTTTGAGGGTTTCTCCATGGCGGGTCCTGGAAAAATAGAAAAACATCATCAATAGATAGGAGAGGGTTAGTTCACTTCCATCAAGACTCCATCTGGATCAGGGAGATAGGAGGGAGCAGATGTTCTCTGTGGATGTCCCAACCAGCTGGGACTCTTCCGCTCTTCAGTCAAAGGGCCTTTGATCCTCCTCCCACATCATTTCTATATTTACTCCGCCTTGTCAGAGGAGCAGGAACCAATGGGGACTAGGAAGGACATGCTCTTTACACAACCACAAGCCTAGGCACTGGGCCATGTGATCTCTAATGGACAAGAAGGTCAAAGTTCAGACTTGTAGACCCTTTACCATAGAACAAGTGACCATAGGCCTAGGCTTCTGGTGATAGGCAGCAGTATTTTCTCTAGAATAGGTGTTAGTAAAGTTTTATATTCTGGTCACCTGTGCTGATCTCTGTAGGAGTGTCCTCTCTTTTAATGTCCTCCTCATTTCAGCCTCCTCCGTATATTGCTGATCATCCCTCAAATACGTCTCTTCTACTTCATCCTCAACTTTTATTTTAATCAGATCTTCACCCTAAACCAACAGAGTGGCAGAAAATAACATCTGTAACATAGAAGGATTTATGATGTGAGATTACATAGAACATCTCATCTTGTAGAGTCCACACATCGTCTCTACATGTCAGAGTGTTCCATCACTTTATGTTCCTGACCCTTAACTCCACCTACCTGATGATGGTGAAGGATGGTGTGACCTTCCTGTGTGGAATCCCGGGAATACAGAGGACGGGGACATCTCTCTGGTGGGATCCCATGACTGGATCCATCTGTAGGAAACACACACACTGACTGAATCCATTGTTTCTATGTGTTTATCAGATGATGGGGGATCTAGGTGGATCCTCCGTACTGCTCTCTCCTTTCCAATAAAGTCTCCTCTTACCCGGTGATGTGAGGGGCAGCTGATTGTCCATCATGACGTCCTTGTAGAGGTCCTTGTGTCCTTCTAAATACTCCCACTCCTCCATGGAGAAATAGACAGTGACACCCTGACACCTTATAGGAACCTGACACACACAATGATACAGTCACCATCCAGACACATCCCTTGTCTGTTACTGGAGAATGTCCCAGAATTCCCGGCACCGCTCACCTCTCCTGTCAGCAGCTCCATCATCTTCTTGGTGACTTCTAGAATCTTCTGCATGTTGTGTCTCTCAGGGTTTAGGGAGTCACATGGAGGCACTGTGATGGTCATATAATCACCTGAATTCAGAGGAGGAAATCTCTGTATTGGAGAATCAATAGGAATATCATGTTAGACACCCAGAATCCTCCTCACCTCTCCGGTCAGGTCTGTGTTTTATTAATAGAGATAAGAGTGATGTCATGTGACCTCCCAGAATCCTCCTCACCTCCCCGGTCAGGTCTGTGTTTTTATTAATAGAGTCGAGAGTGATGTCATGTGACCTCCCAGAATCCTCCTCACCTCTCCAGTCAGGTCTGTGTTTTATTAAAAGAGATGAGAGTGATGTCATGTGACCTCCCAGAATCCTCCTCACCTCTCCGGTCAGCAGGTAGATGATCTCCAGGGTGAGGTTTAGTATCCTCTCAGTCACGTGACTCCGGTCCTCCTCCATCCTCATTGGTCATGTGATCTATACAGATTCCTGTGGACCAATAATTGATAACAGAGAATGATCTGACCTGTACTGGTTGTACAATATTAGGATGAGGGGGGATAATATGAGGGTTTATATCATGGAAGAACATTCCCCACTAGGATTACACACAGAGGAACATTCAGTTTAGGGTTTTCTATGGTTTTGAGCTGGAAAAGAAAGATAACTTTTAGCACTAAATATTAACTCAGCGGTCACACCTCCATTTATACAAAACACAAAGACTTAAAGACTAAATCCCATAGAGAAATATTCCCTGTACAGAAGATCTCCTTCAACCCACACCACTGAACATCTCTGATGCAGACCAAATGAAAGAAAAAGTCTTCTTCAGAAACCAAGTCTTTCCAGAGTGTCCATCTCCTGGTTCCTTGTGGTGTTTTTCCTGCACATTTCTATGTCACTACCATGTCCCCATAGCATGACTTATAGTGATGAGGAGATCAGCAGGAGGAACCACAGAGCTCTGTGGAGGAAAGAGGAGATCATCATCACTCTGTGGTTCCTGAGAAGACTTCAGACAGCAGGAAAACTGAACCTTGAGGTACACTACTAAGAACACTGAACCTTGGCATCTACCACCAACATTGAATCTTGGGGTCCACCACTAATAACAAGGAACCTTGCAGACCACCACTAATAACACTGAATCTTGTGGCACACCACCAATACTGAATCTTGGTGCACACCTCCAACACTGAATCTTGGGGCACACCACCAACAATGAACCTTGGGGTCCACAACTAATCACACTGAATCTTGGGGTCCACCACTATTAACACTGAACCTTGGGGCACACCACCAACACTGATCCCTTGGGGTACACCACTAATAATACTGAACCTTGGAGCACACCAACACTGAACCTTGGGATCCCCCACTAATAACATTGAACCTTGGGGTCCACCACCAACACTGAATCTTGGGGTCCACCACCAACACTGAATCTTGGGGTCCACCACCAACACTGAATCTTGGGGCACACCACCAACACTGAATCTTGCGGTCCACCACTAATAATATGGAACCTTGGGGTCCTCCAAAACACTGAATCTTGGGGCACACCACCAATATTGAACCTTGAGATCCACCACTAATAATACTGAATCTTGGGGTCCATCACTATTAACATTGAACCTTGGGGCACACCACCAACACTGAATCTTGGGGTGCACCACTAATAACACTAATCCCTTGGGGTACACCACTAATAATACTGAACCTTGGAGTACACCATCAACAGTGAACCTTGGAGTCCACCACCAACACTAAATCTTGGCGTCCACCACTAATAACATTAAACCTTGTGGCACACCACCAATACTGAATCTTGGGGTTCACCACTAATAACACTGATCCCTTGGGGTCCACCACCAACACTGAACCTTGGGGTCCACCACCAACACTGAACCTTGCGGTCCACAACCAACACTGAACCTTGGGGTCCACAACCAACACTGAACCTTGGGGTCCACAACCAACACTGAATCTTGGGGTCCACCACTAATAACATGGAACCATGGGGTCCTCCAAAACACTGAATCTTGGGGAACACCGCCAATACTGAATCTTGAGGCACACCACCAATACTGAATATTGGGGCACACCACCAACACTGAACCTTGGGGTCCACCACTAACAACACTGAACTTTGGGGTCCACCACTAACAACACTGAACCTTGGGGTCCTCCAAAACACTGATTCTTGGGGCACATTGCCAATATTGAACCTTGGGGTACACCAGTAATAACACCGAACCTTGGTGAGGACCTCCAATAACGTTAGTCCATCAAGATCATCAATCGTCACTACTTTCTGATGTTTTTGGGGTCATCAATACCTGAAATAATCGGAGGTCTGTTGAAAACCCGAGCAATATAAACACTTTGGGCCGTTAATTAATATATTTATTTATCTGAGTGTACAACGGACTACAACGAGGGACAGAGCAGTTTGTCTCTCAATAATGGTCAGTGACGGGATCTACGATAAAATAAAATCTCGTTACCTCCTCTCCTACCTGCTTCCAGTTCCAGCAATGACTATTCGTTAATTCCCTCCCACATGGAACTTCCTGCCTGTACCTGACAACATTTCCTGTCTGTACCTGACATCACTTCCGGTCTTCCATAGAGACTTCCTATCTGGGTAGAAGTGAGATCCCCACCTTATGGAGCTCAGAGGAACTGTGGCCCCCTGAGAAATGTCTCGTAGTGTGAACCCGGCTCTACCAAGGGAGATGGAAATTTTTCATACTAACCTTACCTGAGCTTCCTTGCAGCTCCTTTCTTTTTTTGCAGCCAATGAGAATACCCAGCACTTCCAGGTATTGAAGGTATGTCAACGGCTTCCATATAATGCTTCCTTCAGCTAGGGTTGGCCACCTCATCCCTTTAAAACCAAACACATTAATTATACGGGTTCTGAGGCTAATTTAATGCGGATAAGGCACCAAGTGGGTTGAATTTGCACCTTAATCAGCAACAGAACCTGCGTCATTAATATGTGTTCGGTTTTTAAGGGATGAGATGGCCACCCTACCTTCAGCTCCAGTCTGGGATCTAAGTAAAACCTGCCTCCATCTCAGAAGAGTTATATGGGCTTTTATGAAGCCTCGGGCATTGCTGAACTCTACCAACATCATGTTTATAGATACAAGGGGCACCAAAAAACAAGCACTTTAACGTTCCGGCAATGGACAGCTTCAACCGCTCTACTTCATTTTGTGAGCAAACAACCAGGGATTCCCCTCACCGTACATAAGGGTCTGGTATGGATGGTAGATCAGAAGCCATTTCCACCCTTTACTCACTGCTGGGGTTCTTTGCATCCATATACCAGATATGAGACATAAAGAAAGAGAAGGGGTGATCCCCCATCCCATCAGTATTGGGGTGTGGGGTCGACCCTAATCTTCCTGACTGCTCTTGCTGTAGAGGTGGACTGCTTGCTGCTGGGTACCTCATGAGGACAGTGAGGGGGTGATTCACTCATTCCACCTCTGCCTGGGTCTTCTTTTGGGGTATCACAGGGCTCGCAAAGCCACATAGGAAGGTTTTCATCAAGGTAGATAGGTTTTTTTCATGCATATTTCTTACACTCAGTGCCTCATAGTGGAAAATGAAGGCTAATTATGACCATATCTATAATCATTTATGCTGCAAAATCATAAATTTGCTCATCCCAAGCAGTCATCTATTTCCCTCCCCTCTCCCCCTTGGTGGGAGTGG